CGAGACCTCTCTGGGCTAGAAGCTGTACACGTATATCACAAAATAAATCCGGGGCCAAATCTAAGCATATGACAAGACAGAAGGGAAACTTAATTAAAGGAAAGCCACTGACAGCCCAATGATCGTACGCAACAGAGCCGCCAAAATCAATAATTATTTCATATACTTCACTTAATTAACCTACTGTATTTACCCAAAAGGGAAATTACGTCCCCAAGTAGGTTAACTTCCAAATTGGGGGTGGTCTTAAATGAAGGGTCCTCTTCTCAGGTCGATGTTCCCCAGTGACAAAGCAGCACGAACTTGCCTGAAGGAGCCCGTCTTCTTACGGCCACACTTCAGGAAAAAAACAAATAAGAAGGCTTCAGGAGGACACAACTGCTCCACGGTTTTGCTGGATCTGAAAGAGGAAACCTCCGTGCGGGAGAAGAACAAGCTGTGGAATTTTCGTGTAGCCCAGGAAGAAACAGAAATGCTCTTATCCCTAAACCCCCTGAAAATTATTGAAGTAAAGGCTCAAGAAATGGCCCCCTCCCAGCCCAGAGTAACTCAGCTTAAGAACTGAGGGTCATCTTTGCAGGTTAACCCAGTAACGATCGAGAGAGAAAGCTCATTCTTCGCCTAGTGCCCTTTTAAAACATCCCAAAATCAGGTCACTATTCTGTAGCATTATTACAGAATAAAACTGCTTTAATAAAGATCTGAATTTATTTTTTTTTCTTATACATCTGTAAGAATAAATTCAGCAGCTCCACCACCGAAAAGCCAGGCTTCACTGGGACTGAAGGCGTCGTACACGGAGTCGTACGACCCTCCATCGCCATAAGAAGCCTTTGCACTGCAGAGGCAAAGAGTGACTCAAGGTCCTTCATAAGACAAGCCAAGTCCTACAAATCCCAGCAAATACAGAATAAAACCTTTATTTTGGCAACTACAGAGTGAATCTCCTGGGGCTTTTGGACCTCGCAGGACCAGGACCTCATGAGCATCACCCCACGTGTCCTGGCGGGGCCGGGACCCGTGCCGTGGGCTGCTCCTGGAGCAGGTAGCTGCCGGTTCTGCGTACCGATTGCCGCAGAAGCCGAACATACGGCGGCACAGCGGGAGCGACCGCCAGCGAGCGGCGATGAGCAAACGCAGGAAGGACGGGGGGAAGGAGGTCCCTTGGACGCCGGCGGCAGTAGAGTCACCAGCGATGCCTTAGGAGGCGTTTCAAGGGCAACCCTCTGCGGCTGTTTGAGTTTGTAGGTGGCGTAATGAAAAGCTCAATACTATTTGATTTATTCTATTAAGGTGCTGGATTTATACTCCTGCTCCGGAAGGAAATTAAGCAGCCTATCAGTGGAGAGAGGTTTAGGGAAAAGACTTGGTGGCTTCATCTTAAAAAGGACGCTGCTGAGGTTGGGAGGTCTACAAGGGAGATGAGATGACCCCTCCGCCAGCTCCCATCTCCATCAGATCTCTGCACGCTACTCACCACCTCTTCCATACGCCAAAGGTTATCACCCTTCCAAAACTGGGGTGTTTAATTAAAAAAATCCCCGGGGGGCGGGGGAAGGAAATACTTTTCTGGAGCCCACCTGCCACCGCAGAGCCTGGCGTCGCAGGGGCGCTGGATGCCGAGGCTCTGCCTCTCCTCGGGGCAGGGGTGACCCCGACCTCCACAGCACTTGCAGGGCAGGCGTCAAGTATTACATCATTTTACAGAAAAGGAACAAAACAAGTGGTGGTCTGTGCATCAACGTAACTTTTCCAATATCTCTGATCATTTCTGTACTCTCCTGTATGACCAAGATGCCTTATTTTTGCGTTTGCAACGATGTACCTGCAGCCTCCTGACTCCATCACAGCTCCACCACGCTGCCCTGATGGCTTCTTCTAACGACCTTTACACCATCTCTGTTGACCCTACAAGCCAAGGAGTGACTCATGTTGAGCGGCGAAGCTCAACTGCTCTGAATTCACTGCTCTGAATCAAAACAACCTTGAGCGAGCTCAGCCCTACGTGACGGATGGACATCAGCTCCGTCTCCCGGCAAGGCTCCGCAGCAGAGGAGCCACCCCACAGGAGAGGACCTCCAGCATCCGTGGGCATGACGCCAATCGGAAAGCAAAGGGGAGGGAGGTCTGCACGGATGGACCGCTGCCCCGCGGAGCCCAGGCGGGATGCTCGGAGAGATCTTCTCCTTGTTGACCTCCACACTGCCCAGGAGATGTCGGTGGCCCTTCTTCCTCCTTCCCCGGCAAGTGACCGCATGCAGGCACGGTTCAGGGCTCCAACACTCAAACCACCCGACTTGAAAAAACTGAAAAAAAAGAAAACTTTTGCGGGACGGACAAAGGCTGAAAAATTAACTGTCTGGCCTCTTCCTCTGCTGCGTTTATTGCTGTCTTGGCAGATGAATTTCAGGTTGCTCCCCCAGCCACAAACCGCTTGTTCTGCCAACTGTACATTACTAACATTGGAAGGTGTCCAGACCTAGGAATCTTTTCTAAAAGCATTTGCTTCATACTTTAAATAGCAGCCCAGCAGGCAGGGGGATGGGAAGGAGGGCTCAGCCCCTGCGTGCGATCCATCTGCAAGCTTCTGCCGGCTCCTCCGCCCCTTCGCGGGTTAAAACCGAGGACGATCCACGGCGGAGGTGCAGGGGGGTTAGAGCTGGTGGGATGCGACCTCTAAACCCTCTGGGGTTGGCAGCGGGGAGGATGTGTCCCCCCCAGGGATGTCCCCGCTCCCTTGACGCTGCCACCTGCCCCTTCCCGAGCTCCCCGGCTGCGTGCCTGGCACGTTATTAATTAAATTAATAACGGGACGTTGGCTGTTTTTTTCATTGAAATCTGCTCTCCTATGAGGTTGAGCATCATTTTTTCCTGGTGCTTTTGAGTTTTTCTTATTATTGGGCTGAACAGCATCATTTGCTGGTACTTCTCTGACTCTATGACTTGCTGGGACGTCCTGAGCCCGCTGTAACACATCACTGCAAAGTCCAAACTCCCCGGCTCCTCTCTAATACTCGAAATCACGGCTCCAAGTGGGTTTCCTAACGGAGCATTAGAAGGAACACGGCCACGCGCTGCAGTATACGTCACCGCTCACAACACTTCAGCAACAAACCCTCCAGTTAGCAAATATTAATCAGGTTTATGGCTGAGAAACAGAAAGGAGGAGGAGGAGGAGGAGGAGGAAGGACGCGGGGAGGGAAACGCAACGTCTTAACACTCGATGCAAGTACAAGGACAGAAAATCGTCCCTGGCCACAAATACTCTGATTTTTCGCCATATTTCTCCAACCTCCTCACGTAAAACGCTCTCGCAGTAAACTAAGAACAAATACAGGTGAAGTTTCTTTTCTTCCATAATTTGGCGCCGCACTAGATAAGCCGGCAATACAGAGCAAAGCTCAAGGCATAATATTTTTAAGTAGTGCTTGTCCTAGTTAATGTTCAGCCCTGCTGTGCAATGTCAAGAAAACTAATGAACAGTGAAGTGGCAGCGAGCAGGAACCTGGGCGTACTCACCCGCTACCAAACTCCTCTCAGAGCCCGGGCACGACGTGAACAAAATCTAAAAAGCATTCGTCTTGGTTCACCGGGAAGCCCGGGCAGCTCGCGCAACGTGAGCCGAATGCTTTGCCACCGTGCTTGCCCCAAAATTCGGTGCCTAAAGTAATAGCGAGCTGGGAAGACCGATGGCAATGCCTGGCTTGTGATAGGACGAGGGATGACGGTTTTAAACTGGAAGAGGGAAGATTCAGACTAGATAGAAGGAAGAAAAGTTTCACTGTGCGGGTGGTGAGCCCCTGGGGCAGGTTGCCCCGAGAAGCTGTGGCTGCCCCATCCCTGGAGGTGTTCAAGGCCAGGTTGGACGGGGCTTGGAGCAACCTGGGCTGGTGGGGGGTGTCCCTGCCCAGGGCAGGGGGGTGGACTAGATGGCCTTTAAGGTCCCTTCCCACCCAAACCATTCTGCGATTCTACAGAGCGCCTGTGTGTGCGTACGCGCGTCTCCGCCACGGGGTTTGGAAAAATTCAACATCTGTTATCAGGCAACACGGCTCCGCTTGCAGCATGCGGCGGGAGCTTTGGCAAAGGCAACGCTTGACGGATGACGCGCTCTCAGCGCTAATACTGAGCGGGATTCACCTTGCTCACCAAGGACAAACTGTTTGCACGAAGGACAAAGTATTTGCACGAAGGAAAAAGTATTTGCACAAAGGACAAAATATTTGAGCATCCGAGACGGGCAGCCCCCAGCAGGCATGATGCAGAGCAAGCTGGAGCCCACCTGCAGCTCCAGGAGGGATGCTGAGGTTGGAAGGACCTGAGCAAGTCCCACTCCCTCCTTAATACACCTCACACCTTCTCCCGTGCGTCGCTTGAGCCCTTTGGACTTCCACGCTTCAGTCTACGAGTTGACACTCAGGGTGAATTTTAACCTTTATATGGCTTCTCAAGCATCTCTTCTCTGTCCCCCGGTTCCAGTGCCGTATTCACGGGGGGAGGCGGATTAATGCCCCTCTAATCTGGCAGAAGAACAGATCTGACAAGGGTACACGGTTCTTCACCGAGTCTTGGACAGCGTGCGGCAGAGCTATCTGTCCTTCACCTCACCCAGCCAGAAAATGGGGTTTCTGCACACAGTTAATAGCAGTATTGTTGATAAGCACTTAATTGGTCTGATCCTGAAAGCTTAACAATCACTTCTGATTATTTTAATCTAAGGAGTAATCTCAGGATGAATCACGGACACGGAGTAAAGTGCCACCTTGCACCAGAAACAAAGGTGGCATCTCAAACAAGCCAAGTAACGAGGGCGAAGCTTTTGTATTAACGCTTTCATAAAAGCAGGAGAAGGAAAATTACTGCAAAAGGAATGATTATGTCACGATTTTTCGTGAATTAAGTCGTGATTATCTGCTGCAATGTAGGGTCTGACGGGTACCAGGAGAACGCTCTTACTCCGAAGCTTCCCGACACGCCAAGGCAGGAGGCTGCCGCCTTACCTTGCTCCAACCTCTTCATCTGCTGGATCTGATCAACCGTCTTTTTTAGGATCTTGCATTTGTCGGGTTTGACGCTCAGAGTGTCGATGTCCCCGATGTTTGCAGACAGCAGCTCCGCCAGCTCCTCTAAATACTTGTTCTCCTGTTCCCGTCGTCGCTTTTCATTGCTGTTAGAGAAAGGGAAATAATTAAAAGGCACGTTAATGACTTTTTCCCACTGCTCAGTTTCGCCACATCTGGGCGCTGGACAAGAACCCAAAAATACAAGTAGTGGCTGGAGTGATGACCATGCTATAACCCAAACACCTCCAAAATACCGGGGAGTTCATTTAGGGCTTTGTCTATTTTTACGCATATAATCAAAATTAATGCCAAGGACAATACGTAGGGCTAGCCAGACACCCCCAACAAAAACAGACCTCTAACACTCAGGACTCTTTCTACCTCCCCAAAATAGTTATAAATGAGTTATAGCAAAAATAATCAAAAATAGTTATAAACAGCCTCTTATTTTCGTACAGCCACTGTTCCAGCTGTCGCCAAGTTTAATCCTAAATTCGTACATAAAAGCTAACGACATCCACCAGAGTTCACCAAAGTGAAAATCGGAATCAACGGTGACAAGAGGAAAATGAAAAATATTCATGAGATCAACCTTTTTGTTCCAGCCAAAGCAGCTTTTTTTTTTTTTTAGCTCCCAGTCACCGCAGAAGCTCAATGCTCTCCCATCAACTATTTGTAAATTCTGGGAACTGAGAATATATTATTTATGTGCTATGACATGGCCATCAATGAAACCACCCTGGACACTGTAACATATTCCTTTACCAAAGACGTTATAAGCATCAAAGGCACCGAAACGAGCTGTGCATATGGGAGAGAAGATACACAGGGACACACTTTCCCTAAATACCTTTCTCTACACCAACCACAGGATGAAATGAGGACACCTCAAAATGCCCAACGTGGCTCTACGCCGCTTGCGATGCCTTTTATCAGGCTGGTTTTCCATAAGCCACCTAACTTCTTGTTGCAACCTCCGCAGGACACCCGACGCTCTATTTAAGAAGAACTGCCTGAAAATCCCTAATATTGACCAATCCCTAATGGCACCGAGAAGCTGCTGAGATGCCCGTGGGCACAGTGAGATGTTCCCGGCCTCAAAGAGGCCCCACCGCTCATGGAGGGGCTGAGAAAACACCGCTAACAAAAGCTGAATCCAAAAGTCCGGCTCGGTAGGAGATCTGTGTCCCACCACAGATGCTGTTGCGTTTGTGCTACGTGGTGAAACAAGCTCTGCTCACAGCTGAAGGCTTCGAGGTTTGGTTTATTGAGAGTGCAAACCAACTGGAGCATGAACATCCCTTGATAACTCCGCAGAGATCCTTTAGAAACCACATCTGTCCAAAAGGGGAGGAAACACCACCAGCCCTCCCCTCTACGGAGCTCCTCAGGTAGGCTGCACAGATGGTCCTTTATTTTTGCCTAATTCCCCTTTATTAGCTCAATATCCAGGTCTGACAGGTAGGCTTTGTCTCCCGGGCATTTTTCTGCTGCTTAAACTTGCTCTTACGTGAAAATATCTGACTACTGCAGGGATAAGACTCTGTGATGAACGTCCCCATGTCTCCCAAGTTCATTCTCCATCACCTCGGTTCTCCTGCCCGTGTCTCTCCAGGTGCCCAGAGGAGGCACAGAAATGACTCGCCCTCCTTTAACTCAGCGAAGCAGCAGAATCACAAAAGAAAGGAAAAAAAAAATAAAATAAAGGCAAGCCCAGCTGCGGGCGTGGAGAACACCAGCCGTGTTCCTGCCTGGGCCACTGGTCCCATGAAGTCCACGAGCAAGACCTTCCATGGGAGACACATGGTGGGACCTGGAAACTCCTCTGCAACGGGTTCGGGTGGGCGCAAAAGCCCTCGCTTCCCTGGCAGGCAGCTGCCAACCGGTACTAAGGGGTCGCAGGCAGCAAAACCAGCTTCACAAGAGGTAGGTTGGATGTCCATCTGCCGCAGATGTGCCGGGTCCAGCCACGGACCTCGGCCTCTTTTTGCAGAGGGATCGGTGACAGCAGCGCCGGCGCGTTCCCCAGCAGCGGGCAGGCAAATGCTTCTCGAAGGAGCCGAGCGAGTATTTTAGTTAAGGTCAAATGAATTCCTAGCTCTCCTTGCGAACCAAAAAGCAATAGCAGAGGGGAGAGAGGGGAAAAAAAAAAATAAAATTAAAGTCCCTCTGTTGTGGGTGAGCTCATTTCATGAAAACCCTTAATGTCGCTGTTGCTGTGGCAACTTTCAAATTGTAGGAGGGAGAATTGGCCAATTTTCCTTACATAAAGGCATCATGAGAATATTACAGCAGTGGGCTGTTCTTTGTGACTCCCGACTATCATCAAAAGCAACAGTTAATCCTTCCAGGTTTTAACAAAGGAGTTTTGAAGTTCACTTTGCTCCGGAGTCCGTTCCGGGGGACTCTGGCCAGCCCAGGGAAGAGGACGAGGTCCCTCCTCGCCACGGCTGCGAGTGGGGAGATGGTCTGAAAGAAGGAAGACACGGCACCGGTGAGGACTTCTCTTCTGGATTTCAGTAACGTGCTTCAGCTCCAGTGTTGGGGGTTGGATGGCCAACCCGACGACAAGTATTTAAGTCAACCCTTCTAAAAATGCTTGTAGGTGCTCTGTGATGTAAAAACTCATTGTGCTTGGACAAGGAAGGAGAATCCCTCATCCACAAGTTTCCGCTTCTCTCTGACCAGTCCATTCCTCGTCCTTGATATTTGGAAAGACCCCTGGTGTCGGTAGCAGAAGGCTTCCTTGGGGTGCTTAGGGGTTAGGATATAAACCACACGAGATCTGCTTTCAAGAGACAGACCAGATAAGGCAAAGCCAGGTGTGTGCTCATTCATCTGGAGAGCAATTCCTTCAAGAAGAGGTGTCGGAGCCCTCCTCGCTACCCGTGGCTCTGTCGTGGGGACTCGAGGGCCAACGGCTTCACCCCACACTCACCTCTGGGCCAAGGACCAGCTCCGAGACCAGCCTGGAGACAGCAGTGAGGGCTGCAGAGCTCTGACTCCAATGACTCAGCCGGAAAGGGGAAATATTTCACAAGATTATAGAAGAATTTGGTAGGAATAAGACAGCCGCAAGTGCTATCAAAATGTCTTCTGCAATTTAATGGCACAGCTGAGCCACGAACCACAGCGCCTTTGTAAGAAGGTGGGTGAACTCTTACAGAAGGGAGATGTTGCAATCAAAAACTGCAATAAACAGAGATCCTCAACCAACCACTGAATGTCTCTCTACCGGAACACCGTAGCCTTTACAGTTATTATCTAGAACATCCCGTATGAGCTGTAAGCGATAGAAAAGACACCTGGGCTTTGCTCAGCGCGGCAATATTCTGTGACGACGACCAAAACAGCATCCCAGGCAGCAGAGAGACGGAGTCAGCAGCAGCACCGTACGTTCATCCTGACTAACAGACTACATCGCCATGGAAAAAAAAGATGCACAGGATTCCCAGGGAGTCGGGAAAAGCCTGTGGAAGGAGATCACAACTGCCTCTATGCCGGACTTCTTAGCTTAAATCAGGCGACGAGGCAGGTGGGACGGGAAGGCTCAGCCATGAGCAGAAGGTGCCTTTCTGCAGCGAGCTGAGCTTTGAAGCAGCCTGTGGCAGCACCCAGAAAGGAAAATATTTCAGACAGAAATATTGTCTGTTCCGTAATTGCACCATGGAGCAAAAGGGTCTCCACCGGAGTTTCTGAACGTTACAAAATCACAGATTTCTTGGGAATCTGGCACGAAGAGGCAGAAGGCTTGGGATGATCTGCAGACCTCGCAGGAGTATCTGCCCCAGATTTACCCTGAGAAAGCTTTCCTGACGCTCTGAGCGCTCTCAATTTATGAAATCAATACATTAACTTTGATAACGAGCCTCTAATCATCATTTGCCACCTCGGAACAGGCAGAGCAGATGGGGAGCCGCATTTCCATCATGCTCCATCTTCCACCGCAGCCACCGCTAAAAGCAAAGCGAAGTTCTGGTGGGAAGTGTGAACGTTTCCGAGTGGCTGAAACCCGGCTCCATCTGCTCGAGCAGACGGGACGGAGCGACGCAGTGGGAATGACAAAGTAGCCGCGGCAGGGGACGGATCGGGAGCGGTGCACGTACCTCTGGGCTGTATCGCAGGGCGAGCCTTTCCTCTTCCGAGAGTCGGGGTTGGCAGGGTCCGTTGAGCTGTCCCCGAGGCCACTCATGTTGGTTGACCTACTTTGCACCTGGAATCAAAGAGAGACAGGGTAAGGACAAGCTTTTTGCAGCTGCAGGAGGAGCGGTTCCTCCACGGCAGAGCCAGAAAACGCGGACCAAGCGACCTCTCAGGAGGTAACTAACCCAACACAAGTCTTTCTGATTGAATTGATGTCTTGTTTGTGAAAGAAAGGGTGGGAAGGGAAGACAATACGCGACCACGTTACCTTCCTTTTGGCATCGTTTGGTCACCACTCGGCCACGCGAGCCCTCGCTACCAGAACCATCACCCTTACATCGCAGACCGACCTCCTCCCCGTATCCCCACACATTTTCGGTTCCCGGCCACCCAGCATTTTAACAACCACCTATACGCAACCCGTTTCAATGCTTTGTTTAGGTGTGTTTGACCACTTTTGTTTTGTTTCCTTCTCCTGCAAGCCTTCTCCTTCAGCCCAGCTTCGGCTCCTCTGCCATCTCCCCCTGGTTCCTCTGACTCACGGCTGGCAGAGGACGCTCCACCCTTCGCATTGTGTCTGCTCCCCCACCACCTCCTTTCCCCTCAGCACATGGCCCGGGCTTTAATTAGAGTTGCAAACTGACTCATCTCCTAACGGGATGAGACACCCTCCCACGAACCCCTTCCCCACCTCCCGCTGAGCCTGTCTCCCACGCACGGTCCTCCCAGCCCCAACCTTCTCCTGGCAAAGACCTTCCCACCATGGCCAGTCCTTGGCCAGACCCAACACCGGGGACCTCCTGGGTTCCAGCTCTCTCCAACACACGGACATTTCACCTTTATTTTTAGGGTGTAATTTCAACAGATGTTGGGTAAACTAGTCCGTGCTACGGCAAATGAGAGCTCTAAGCAACCAAAGAAGGTCCAGAAGTCATGAGGGTTGTAACACTGCAATATCCGACGTGCTAATGCTCCTTAATTATATTTTTTATATTTAATTGAATAAAATACCGCGTAAGCCTAATAAAGGCAAGAATGCCGATAAAGGCTTCTTTCTGGACATTTCACCTTGAGGGGTGTTAAAAGGTTTGGACAAAGACCGTTGACACTCTCCAACCCAAGACCTCAGCCAGTCCCCTCCAACTGCCTAAACGGGACTAAACACCGCTACAGGAGAGGGTCAAAACCTCATACAACACGTTACATTGGAGCTTCTCTAGAAAACAAGTCAGCTATGCACGCTGCTTCCCTTGCTTTGCTAAAGCCATTCAGTGATTTTCCCAGTAACCACAATAATTCAATATTGGATAACGCCAACTTCCCAATTCTTTCTTTATTTTAGAATTTTTGGAAGCCTTTATCACTGAGAGAAGATACAATCCCTGAGAAATAAAGTAACAGGACCTTGGGCAAGAAGTTAGTAGTTCAGAGAGTAAAAGGACGAAGTTCTTAAACTTAATTCCCTTCATTTCTTTTATTACTTTCTAAAAGCTGGAATTTTAACAAGGATTAAACTGCTGACAGATTGTGGCTCTAGAAGACCTGTCCACCGTTCCCACAGCCCACATTCTCCCCATGTTTTCTTCAGCCTGCCCAAACGTGCGTCGGGATGCCTTCGGTGGTCCAGCATCTCCCACCCACTACCCAGCCTGGTGCAAGGTGGCCGCTCATCAAAAGCCACCGGCGCTGGCTCATCTCGTGCTCAGATAGGTGATGATTAAAGTCCCATCAGCTTCTGAAAGTTCTCCAGGTCCCAACCCGCACCTGCAGAGAGGCTCAGAGCAGTGCAAAGGGATGGACACAGCTGTGAGCATCTCCTCTGCTCCCTGGTTGCTTGAAGACCCCAGCGCTCGGATTAAAAGCCTGAAAGCCACCAGCATCCCCAGCAGCGTGGCCAGCAGGGCGAGGGGGGATTGTGCCCCTCTGCTGCGCTCTGCTCTGGGGAGACCCCCCTGCAGTGCCTCTGCTGGGAGGACAGGCTGGGAGAGTTGGGGGGGTTCAGCCTGGAGAAGAGAAGGCCAAAAAGGGGAGAGCTCAGAGCCCCTTCCAGTGCCTAAAGGGGCTCCAGGAGAGCTGGGGGGGGACTCTGGGTCAGGGAGGGGAGCCGTGGGATGAGGGGGAACGGTTTGACACTGACAGAGGGGAGATGGAGATGAGATATTAAGAAGGAATTCTTGGCTGTGCGGGTGGTGATCCCCTGGGGCAGGTTGCCCCGAGAAGCTGTGGCTGCCCCATCCCTGGAGGTGTTCAAGGCCAGGTTGGACGGGGCTTGGAGCAACCTGGGCTGGTGGGAGGTGTCCCTACTTATTGCAGGGGGTGGACTGGATGGCCTTTAAACCCAAATCATTCTGTGATTCTCTGATTCTCCAAAAACCAGCGTTACCAGCTTCATTATCTCCTGTGACCGAGGTGTCCAGGGGAACGTTACACATTTCGGCTCCTCAACAACCTACCTCTACGCTCAACATTGAGAACCTCCACTCCAAAATAAGTGAAATATCTGCGCTTAGCACAGCGCTACGGCGAAAGAGCCCATCTTTCGGCACCACACAGGCATTTCTGCTAACGCTTGCGTCACCGGTGCTAAGGCGAACGCGGTTCCTGAAATCATTTTAGCAATATTAGCGCAGGCGATCGATGCCGCAGGCACGAGAGCTTGTCCACCGAAATCAGAAACCCTGAGCAGATGCCAGCGAGCTAGCCATGACCAGGGAGCCGAGTTCATCCCCTGCGTCTTTGGCACGTTTGCAAGAAGGAACGATGCCAAAGCAAATATAAGGAAGGCGGAGGGGAGGGGGGGGAAGCAAACTCTTGAAAAACGTAGAGATTGGAAAACTAAAAGTGCTGCATCATCTGCTTTGGGGGAGAAGGGCTCGCTGAGGTTTCAGACGAGCTTCCCGGGGTTTAAACCTTCTTCTTGAAGGTTTCACTTGCTCTCACCAAAACACCGAGTCTCCGTAAGCGGCGTTGCTCTTACAGGTCCTGATCTTTCCTCTCGGCAACTCAAAAGAAAACATGAGCGAGGATACGGCAGGTAGAGTCGACCGTCCCACTGGGATGCTCCACTGCGGGACCGTGGCTTGGCAAGAGCGACCATATGCCCTCGAGAGGTGAACTAAGGACAACATTGCAGCCTTAGCTGAAATCCTTGGCTTGAGTTAAGCCCTTGATGTAATACACTCAATGTTTCTTTTTATTGTAAAAGGAGTTTATTTTACGGCAAAACTCGCCGGGGCTGACAAGCCAAAAAATGTCATTGGGTCTAAAAATAACGGGGCCGAGCGGGTTCGAAAGCCGCGCTGGGTCAGGGCACGGCCAGGGGACGGTGCCCCCAGGGAGGGCAAGGGTTGGGCTGCCGTCACAAGGCAGCCCTGCCTCCCGCTGCCCGCACACCGCGCCGTTTCACCAGAAACCTGATTTCTAACCACTGCCTTCTTGTAAAAACGTTCATATTCTGCTGGCTTAGGAAAGCAAACGGAGGCAGAAGAAGGACGGCGGCACGGTAATGAAAACAAGCTCATTAGTTCGGCCAAGGTGAGGGGAGGCGGTTTCCAGGGGTTCTCCGATGCAGTCCTCTGCTAAACCGATCGCTCCTCTGCTGCCACAAGCCACCAAAAAAATATATTAAGGGAGAGTATAAAATGCTGTTGGTGTCCCCACCGGTGCTGCTCGCTCACCGGGGCTCCTGGGGCTACATTTGACCATGGCAGGAGAAAGACCTAAGCGTTGCATCAACGCAAAGAGCGTTGGCCTCTCGCCCTCCTCGAGATGGACATGGATGAAGTCTCATCCCAAAGATGCCCCCAACCTGCTGCTCTGAAGAAGCTCTGTGTCATGGTGCAAACCCAAAACGTAGAGTAGTGGGGTTTTTTCAACAACTATGGATATTGTCATTGCAACCAGCAGCTTCACGCTCGGTCTTGCATGCGGCTGGTGCACAAGTCTGTGGTCCTGTCTGGCCATGGGCAGGTCATTACAGCTCTCCGGCTCCAGCTAAACCAGGGCTGAACCCAAGCCATCGGTGAGGCCAAAGGTCTGGAGCTTCTCAAAGGTGATTCTCCATATCCACGTTGTTGTTGCTCCCCTGGGTATTAGTCCGCAGATCTGGACACAGCACCAGTCCCTGCCCCCTCCTGTTACCAGCACTCTGGTGCACCACCCCATCTGCTCACCAGAGACTAATCAGAAGGCAAAAAAAAAGAAAAAAAGGAGAAGGGGAATGGATAAGAAGCACAAGAGCTGAAGCAACCTGCCCATGGCCAGGCAGACGAAACTACCTCCGATTTCCAACCCTATACCCCTCTTCCATCGGTCCTCCAACGTGCCATACTGGAGCGTCCACCTGAAGAAGATGCTGCTCTTTGGGACGCTAACGAATACGCTAGCAGAGAGCAGAGCCTTGACGTGGAAGATGAAGAACCAGCCAACATCAATATTCTAACATAACCTTGGGGATCATGACACGAATGCAATTTCCACATTAACAAAAAAAGAAAATAAAAAAAAAAAAAAAGAAGAAGAAAAAGGATGTGAATCATTGCGGCTTAATGCTTCTGCTCTCCTCGTAACGCCAACGGATTTCCAATAGCTTCCCAAAGACGGCCATCGCTACCTCTAGCAGACACAAATAGCCCGAGTGATTTGAACTGACAGCCCAGAAGACGGAGTTGGCCACTGAATACTTAATTCTAACAGAACTGCCTATTCCTACAACGTATTTCCCACATTTGGGATGAATTTCACCCCCCAAAATGCTTACAAAATAACGCTAACATCTATTGGAGAGAGGCACAATTAATCGGCTGTTTTTAAGAAAATGACAATGTTGGAAAAGTCCCTCATATAACAGCTATTTATCATCAAAATATAACCCATCTGTGCATACACAGTCTCAATTAGAGGTAATTAAGAGCATACTTGGAGTGTCGCAAGGACACATCTATATTGTTCCCCTCACAAGTTCATCATCAGCTGCTCCTCTCATCGCCGGGTTAAGAACAAAATTTAATTTTTTTTTTTTTTAAAAAAAAAAAAAAAATCTGCAGATTA